TCAGTAAAATGATCATTGGACTGTTCATTTTATTTTTAACAACATATGTACTAAAATGTATTTCGACAACAAATATATATCAGCTGTAGCAGCATCATATGAATTCTGGCATTTTGCACATAGTCCACCAGGAGGCACCAACACAAAAGTCAAAGACTTCACATGAGATTTGGGCCATCTTGTGGTGGAAAAGCAGATTACTTCCTACTCGCGAGCGCCCCCTCTGGTGGGGAAATGTTTTTTTCAGGGATACTAACTTTTTCAGAACACCGGTAGACGGCAGCCTTTACAGACGAACATGTGTTTGTTGTTGTTCGAGGAGCGGCCCGGTCACATGCTTATGTCTTTAGTTTGTTATCATTATTAAGGTGCAGGACTACTTTTCCCCCTTTTTTTCACATCATGTCGCCTGCCTAGATCTGTTATTATCTCGCTCTGATGCACGGAGGAGTGTCAGAGGTAAGCTCGTTTCAACTGCTTTTTACGACGCGGTCTCGTTTCCGGACTCAGGCATTTTGTGAATGAAGCCGATATTTCAGTTAAAATACATAAGTAAAAATATTTATCCAGTATAGTACCCCAACTTTATGGAGGATTTTATGGATTTAACTTTTACGTATTATACTTGAATAAATACGGTAAGTTCAAGCCAGATAAACATTTCCCCTTTACTCAGAGCTCCGCCGGTAGCTGAAATATCTGCTAATAAAAATAATCTCCTAGGTTTTCTTAAAYTTTGTTGCCAAAAAAGCAGAAAAAAAAAGATTTATAGTTCCATGTCAGGCGGTTGCAGAGGACTTGTGAGGAGCCTCCAGAGTCCAGGAGAACCTCTTCATAAATACACTCAAGCTGCGGGAAAACTGTACAAAGACCCAAGGAGCTGTGACTGGTTGCTTCTTTACACTTCATCCGTGTGCTGTTAAATCAGTAAACCTTTTAAACTGCTTATTTATCTGCAGCATCAAAATGCATGTAGAAAAACGACCCAGAAAAACGAACCAATACAGATCAGGAGGATCAGATGTTTTAAAGTGAGCCTTTCACGGAGTCATCTTTTGACAAGCACGCTGCATCTGAACCAGTCTCGTAGTGGCGTGCATGAAGTGTTGATAGTTGCTGAAGGTCAAACTAATGAGTAATAAAAGATGAARTGAAGCAGAATTTCTATTTCCCTGCTTCCCTTTGATTAACCGATTTAATTACTCCTCAGACCCAGTTCTGCAAAGAGGCGTAAATTGTGAAAGGGTGATAGGCCTACGCCGAGTTAGGTGAAAAGTGTAACCTCAAAGAGGGAGCGTAGGTGTACAATACAGAACAGTGGTAGTGCAGGAGCATTCACATCAAGTTTGCCTTCAAGATGATCAAAGTTAGATTCACAACACTAATACTGTCATCCTTTAAACTGAGAAAGCAGTTCATCACAACTGAAGGCACACTGGGGCTCAGTTTCTTTTGTTTTCCTTTAATTTGTTTTCAACCAACGAAAAAAAAAACTTGGAAAACATAAATTAAGAAAGGCATTGCAGGGAAGTTGAGAACTGAAACCCTGAAGGGGAAGAATACGWGAAATCAACAACAACAAAAAAAGATATTAAAATTATCTTACAAAGAGATGTAACAAGAAGTCGATGTTCTTATAWATTTTTGTTTTGTTTCATTTTATTATCTGATTACATTGATGTTTTTTTTCTGATTTACAAACAAATTCCTGTCTTGGAATAATGTTCTGCTAAACTTTTTCTAAAAAAATGTGTTTTTGTAAAAATAAACAAAAAAAAACATCTTATGTTTCTTTTTGTCAATGTGTTTCTGCCAAGAATAGGAGTCATTTATACATAGAAATGATGAATCTAAATGGTTGAAAACTTTAAGACATCCRTCTGTTTTCTTCTGCTTATTTGGGGTCGGGTCGCGTGGGGCAGCAGCCTAAGCAGAGAGACCAAGGAGGTTCTACAGAACAGAGGTTCCCAAACTTTTTGTCTTCTGACCCACAAAATATCCATGGCTAAAATTTGTGACCCCAAATATTACTGGTCTGAGTACACGAACTCTGTTAATAACCCTAAAAACACAGGCTTTTTGACAATCTAAACAGCTTGTACA